AAATTGCGAATGCTTTTGGACATGCATTAAATAAATATATATATTTTTTAATATTTATAATTTTTTTTTAGTATATATAGCATTTGCTTGACAGATTTTGACCACTATAGTTCAATGTAATGATTCCAGTAATGAATTAAGGACGTTTAGTTTTATTTGGAGTGAATATTCAGCATTCACAAGTTTAGTTCATTCTGACTGACATGACATAAGCAGATGATAATGTTGCAAACAGCAGAGAGTTGTATGAGAGCACTTGATGCATGTCCAAAAGCATTCGCAATTTGTTGGAAGGAATGAGAAACTGCTACTAGGATGTACACAAATGACTAATTGTTCTGAGAAATGCCTGAACTGTTGTGCAAACGTAAATAGTGTAGAGAGAAATGCACCAAAGCCACTGAGAAAAAACTGTAAATGAGAATTGACTTCAGTTCTGATCAACAAGCCATATGCAATTAGTTTTTGTCCAAACTACAGACAGATGCACGTACTGTTTGCACACATGATGTGCCAAAGCATTTGCAATTGGCATAGATCAATAAGAAACGCCACTCTGAAGTGAATAAGCTAATTGTTCAGAGATCTAAACAATGATTTCAATCAAGGATTGAGCCAAAGCAGTTGAGAAAAACTGTAATTGATAATATTAATAATAATTATGATGACATACAGTATTTTAGGCCCTATGCTGGCATTAAATGTTTTTCTGGTGATTAATTGCTGATGTATGCACACATTTATTACAGTATTGACCTGAGCTGCAGTAAAGATTACAGTAACAGTTATAAGAATAAAAAATACTTTGTGCATTGCTTTATTGTATATGCATGTTTGCTATATACGAGTATATCTTTACCTTAATTTCTGTTTAACAGAGAGCAGATTTCTTCAATACATTTCATCACATAATGATTCATATCTAATCACTGATTTATTTGATCTTTGCCATGATGACAGCATATAATACTTGCTTAAGGGGCTAATAATATTGACCTTAAAATGGCTTTAAAACAATGAAAATCAGCTTTTATTTATAGCCGAAATAAAACAAATAAGACTTTCTCCAGAAGAAAAAATATTATAGGAAATACTGTGAAAATATCCTGAATCTGTTCAACATCATTCGGGAAATATGTAAAAACAGAGAGAAAATTCACAACAATTTTGACTCCAACTGTATGTATATAATCAGCATTACCTGCCATACTGCGCACGTGAGGATAGGAGATCCCACAGCAGAGCTTGAGGACGGCCGGCAGCATGATGAAGATGAAGATGGTGGAGATGGAGACGGCGGACAGCAGGAGGACGAGGGACAGCTTTATAGAGCGGCTGAAGGACAGAAGTGAAGATAAGAGCTCTGTTTCTGAGATAGCCTGAGTTCAGCTCGACACAAGGACACATTCAGCAGCAGCAGGAGGAGAAATCTGCTCTCAGAGGCTGATAAAAGCTGGAGCACACACTCCTACTTTGGAGATGTTTCAGAGGTCTGCAGAGGAATACATACTTATTATTCAGCTTTAAATAATGTTTGAGATGTTTTGAGCTGGTTGCATGCTTGTATATATATTTTGTTTTATCTACTGCACTTTAGTAGCCACAGGGGATGCCTGCAAGTGCTTTAGAAATACAGTTGAGTTGAATTGAGATCTCTCCCTTGAGTGTGTAGTGAAACAGCACACAGATAAGGTGCTCTAGCTCTCTGAAACTGACCCTTTTGGGCTTTGATCCTAATCATGGTGTTTTGGTGACTGTCGCTTTAAATTCAAATCAGATTGTGCCGTTTTCATAAGAGGGCGGAGCTACAGACGCCTGGGTGTCATCACCTGTTGCTGTTCATTTGTGCTTCACCTAACTCAGTGGTTCCCAAAGTGAGGGTAAGGACCCCCCCTCGCAGGGCCGGCCCAAGGCCTAAGCAGGATTTTATTTGGGGCCCCCTTGGTGCAAACAACAAGACAAATTATCGTCAATCCTTGATAATTCGCACACTATAAATTTAAAACACACATTATCGATTTTATTCGCTGTAGCTGTGTTGCTTACATCATAAAATATATGTTTTAAGACAATTCTAAATATTATTCTGCAGAAACAACTTCCTATTGATCCAACATTTTATATGACTACTTGCCACAAATCTAAATAATTAGACACAAAACATTAATATGGGCTGGCAGAAACTTATTTTTATTATTATTCAGGCACAAGACGCTGCCAAACAGTCAAACATAGTGACAATAAAGATACATATTTTTAAATTGGATATAAATGTTAACACTGAAAAAAATTCATATTGTATTTTGTAGTTCAAATAACTTAAAACATCTATTTAAATTAAAATCAAACTAAATCAGGAAGCATTTTCTAGACATACTCGCATATCAATCAAATTAGTAAATACGTACAAAAATTGTTCAGTTTTCAGAAATAATTCTAAATTAAGTGAGTTTTTTTTTGGAAAACAAATTTATCTGCCAATGAGATCAGTAAAATAATCTTATTTAAAACCTAAAACGCAGATTATTGAGCTTTTTTTAATTAAAAAATCCACATAATTTTTTGACTAAAAATCCTTCTAGAAAATGTTTATTGGTTTAAGAATTAGATAATTTAGATATTTGGACTAAAAATCACACAAAACTATAAGAAAATCATTTTTGCAGTGTATTTACCAACTGTCAATTGTATAAATCAGAAGCTTATTTTTTTATCACCAAGTTCATGAAAAAGCATTTTGCTGCTGTTCCGGGCACTGCTTTTGGCGGAGTTAAAAAGTTTGTGCACATAAGAAGTTGCACTGGCCGCGGGCACACGCGAGCGATATAGCGAAGTGAAAGCGCGTCTGTTAGAAAGAAACTAGTGGCAAATTCGGGGGAGCTGGATGTCTGAAACACACAAATACATTGGCCCAGCTTGGACAGAAGAATGTGTCTGTATGCCTGAGATATTCACCATTGCAATGGCTCAATCAGTGGTTTACATGACGCTGGTGTATGTCTTATGATCCGCCATTATGGGAAGCGCCACCTTGTGGCGGTTGGGTGTACTGTAGCTAAAGCGGTTATCTGCTGCAGTCGGTGTTGAAAACAGATTAATTAAATCAGATCTTTTGTAAATTTAGGTAAATATCTTGGCGCCTGAGTATGTATCGCGGTCAGAAATAACACTATAAATGGGCATATATTTTGTCCCACCACTAATCCACAACTCAACAAACTAAAATGAAAGTCACACAATAATTTCAAGCACTCTTGGGGGCCCCCTGGTGGCCACGAGGCCCTAAGCACCCGCTTAGTTCGCTTATGCCTTGGGCTAGCTTTGCCCCCTCGGGAACAATAAGGAGGTGGGTGGGGGGGGGTCGCTTGGTGATCCCCTAAAAAATCAAATTCATTTTATTAAACCATTAGAATAACCATATTTTATACATGACCTATAGAATATAAAAAATAATAGTTACATTAAAAATAAAACAACAACATGCAAATAAAAAGCCATCAGCCTTTCGTTTTTTTCATTGATTGTGACCCCCAGCGTAATTACTTTAAAGTATATATATATATGAGCAATATCACACGAGTAGCAGTGTTCTATGGCTGTATATCAGCACTGGTGGGAGGCGTGCGTTAGCACGAGGCTGCAGGCAGCGCTGATATACAGCCATAGCGCACTGCTACTTGTGTGATATTGCGTTCATACAACAGTTCGACGGCACAATCTTTTACATAAAAAAGAAAATCAAACACAGAGAGTCTAAAACCCTTTTGTATAAGGAACTACTTTCTTCCGCCATTCATTCACATCTGCAGCTGACATCAGATGTTTGAATGATTCTCTATAGCGTAATGTGAAGCGGCGCTTCTGGTTTGTGGCCCCCTTAAGGTGATGACAAAACAGCAAAATTTGCTCACATTTTAAGATTATAAGGCTGAACGTGACATGAAATGCCATCCATCTACAGAGATTTCTCACCAGACTGCTGTTGT